ATAACATGTGTGGCCATGGAAGCTGATGGATAGGCTACTTGATATAACACGTGTGCCCATGGAAGCTGATGGATAGGCTACTTGATATAACGCGTGTTGCCGTGGAAGCCGCTGATTGGCGTAATGGCGTAAATCTGTTCCGAGGACTGGGGAGATCAAAAGTTTATCTGGAAACTTGAAAAGAGGAGAAGGGTGTGCTTACAACAGGTATCAGTAGGGATGCTGTTCAGGATACGAATGCACGTGTTCAATATACTTAGACTGAATTCGAATCTTTTGTCTACATCTAGGTTTAGGTCTTTACTTCATTGGAAATACGCGGAGACGCCTAGACAGTTGACCCATATCATAGCTCTAGAAGCCCGTTTCGGACACGGCTATGCTCCCTTGAACCTTACATCAAAATAGCTTATTTCAACCATTGTTCATTTTCTTCTTTTCTGCCGTGCTAATGAACGCATTTTGGTTGTTGGGAAGTCCCAAAAAGTTTCTGTGGTGCACACTCATCGGTGTCAAAGGTCACCAAGTGGTCACTAGCTGTCGTTTTTATTGAAAAATACAAAATGCTTCTTCTTGCTCCAACTGACTCCATCCGATGAAGTCCAAACTTAGTTTGCTCCTCACACCGCAGATCATATGAGGGGTACATAATTTGGCCACAGGCTAGCAACTTTGCAGTCATTGGTAAATAATCAAGCTACATTTGCCGCATGCTCCTGCCGATTTTAGCTGTATAGGGTCATAGGGTCATATAAAAGGGCATTTTCTGAAAAATGGACAATATGGCTAGTTTGTCAGTTATCTAGGCCTCTTGCACGCTTCGGGTGGACTGGTTACCAGGGTCAAATGTCGCAAGAAGGGTAGTAGTGTATGGTCACTTTCATACTCAGTAGGACAGTAGTCAGCAGTGGCCATGGCATCTCTCAACAAAGACCCCAATAAGGTAATGTCTTAAGAAATTCAGTGCGATGAACTCCCTCGGGCAACATCTGTTTGGACCCTAAAAGAGCTTGGGCGGAATCCGCCCCCTCCCCCATTCAGTTTTTTTCCGATATTGCCCCGGTTCTGGTCCATTCTTTCAGGATTTGAGCCTTAGAATTCTGCGAAAATCGAGCAGTTCTTGTGCAGCGCGGATATTTCCGACACGGGTTAGCCCAAAACGACTTTTTCTACTGCGATGCTTACTACATGTGGACAGGCACGCATGTAGCCTTGAACTTCAAAATGACCGTAACAACAAATCCATACGTCTGATTGAGTTCAAACTTTACAGCTTTTTTAATACGGAGTGTCTTTACATGCATGCCAAGTTTTTAAAAAAATCTAGCGAGGCACACAGCAGTCAAGATCTTAGGGGAAAGAATCTGCCTCCCCTTCCGGTTGTGAGATGGGCCAAACTAACCCGACTCCTTTAGGTTTAGTCTGATCTCTACCGAAAGATTCCCTGTTAAATTAATAAAAAAAAACCTAGGTCAGGTATCACCCACGGATTTAAATAGATACGACGCAGGGTCACGGGTCACAGGTTGAAAGCCCGGGTGTTTTGTTTTCGATAGGCCTACTAGTAGGCCTATGCGTGGGCACCAGTTGCCAGTCGTCAGGTCCTGATTTTGGCTAAGGCGACCTTCAATTTCAGTGTAAATTCAAATATTGTAGGATCAACAGCCGTCATTAAGATACGGAAGTTTGCGTTCATCAGCTAGCCTACCTACCCGGCCGGGAATGACCGAACATTAACGGTACTATCCGAACATGCTGAATATAGACGGGACGACTTCAGAATATTTCGGCCCTTTCCGGAGAACCGGAGGTATTCCTCCAGTCTTGGTCACGTGGACATTGGGTGATACCGGACCCTTGATTTGTAGAGTAGTCCGAATCTTTGGGTCTGGTATCCAGACTACCTTTAGGTTAAATCAGTGTGGACTGCCGAATATGTACTGCTTGCAGACGATTCACCAAACAAGTATGTCTGGTGATGACACAGTGACCACTGGCTGATATTTCTGCTTCGTGAAGCAGAAATATCCTGGTTTGGTCCCATTTATTTCAAATTTGTAGATGAAGGATAGGAATTCACTGCGAAAAGGCATTCTCTGGCTACCTGTGAAAAAAGTACCACCAATGCTACTTAGTTCCCCTCATCCGCGACGACATAGTTGGGTCCAAACACACGGTAATTAACCACTTGCACGGCGTATTCACCGTCTGGACCGATCGGCACAACGTACAGCGTTTCTCTGTCAATCCCACTAACGTGGTCAATCCAGCCTATGTGTGGCTTCATTGCTATGGACGTTGATAAAGACAGCAAGATGACTTAATACCAATGGTGAACGATTAAATGAAGCTGTTTTATTAAACATTAACGTCACAATCAAGTTATGATATATTTGTTTATTATTAGTTGGTCAACAATGCTAACTTAATGGGGAAATACATTTCTCGTTCTCTTAACCATAACATTCCACGATATTCCACCTGTTGGAGAATTGTTACAGTTAATGGATACGCAAAGTAAAATATTATGATGTGAACAATAAACACATAATATGATACGCAGTAGGTGGGTTAAACTGCCTGATTGCGGGTATTAACACTCTACCAGTTAACCTATTCGTCGCTGTCGGCACGCACGACGCGACAACGGACGTGCAAATTTGGGATATGGCAAGTCTTGGATGCGGGAGGACAGAGGTATCCAAGACACTGCCTAGTCTAGTCCACCAACTCCAAAGCAACGGTAAAGAACGCATTTCTTGAATGATATTAGACGCTGTAGTACTGTTGAGATGGAGGGTTCTATGGGGATCATGCTTGGCAACTCGTGAGGCTGGTAAGCACCAGCCTAGTCTCATTCGTCCTCTCTCTTGCCGTCGAATCTTGGTACTCCCCAAGTTCATGGTATGTTGCATTTTATATTTCTTTTGCAGACTATCCAAATAGGTAAGGGATTGCGGAATTGAAAATACTTTATTCATGGCTGAGTACGGGAATTAGGGAATAACTGACAATCTTATTAAGAAACCTTTTCTGAACTTTGATTTCAACTGTGTACGGCAGGATTGCCAAGTTTTCAAGTCCCTTCCTGACATGACATTTAACCCCTGTACGCACACTTATTCCATACCTTTGGTGTGGAGGTATAAAAGAACATAGTCAAGTTTGGACATGACTTTGATAAATGAAGGGCCTTACCTGTAACTCCTTCATAGCCATCCGGCAACACGATGACGTCACTCGTAAACATGTTCAAAAGTTCTTCTTTGTTCTTGGTGTTCGACCGCAGACATCACTGTCAAGTGAAAGCAATCCAGAGTTAGGTTTCTGTTGAGCTCTTTCCTAACAAAATTACATGTATAAGTCATGCTCAAAGCCGATCGTAATCGCGCATATTATCCTTAGCACTGTTTGTACAGAAACACAGTATTGTCCCGGACTGTTTTTCAAGAGAATCTGGTTGGAAAGTGTACAAGCCAGTGTACACTTCTGCATCGAGGTTGTCAACAATTGAACATAAAGACGGGGCATACTTCACGCGAAAGTGAACATAAACGGGGATTTGTGACGTCAGCTCAAATTTTCCGACTAAACCGACCTTCAAAGCCTCATACTTGACGCAAAAGCGAACAAAAACGCTATATTGAGAAGTCGTATCAAACGCAGCGAATTCACAAAAGTCGAAAAAATTTCAATTCGAGCGAAATTTTGCTGTACATGTAAATCTCTCGCCTTGCTTTCATGTTGGCCTGTAGTCTGAAACAGCAAAGCTCAATTGATAATGCATACTAAGTGAAAGCCTTTTGAAGGACCGAAAACGCCCACATATAATATGACTACAAGTGAGTTTAATGTTAGAGCATTTCTACAGAGATGAAATTATTTTCGGACTACTCAGAAAAAGGGACAAAATTTAATATGGAAATACGTTGAGACTGACATGTTTCAAACATTTGAAACAGCAAGAAGACATTTATCTCCTTTGTCTGCCACTTTAGGAACATCCAAAAGAATGCAAAAGACAAAACGTATCACAGTACTTAGTGAATGAATTATTACAATTTTCCGAAGACTATTTCATACGATTCTGTTGTCTATCCTTTGGTCTTTCAAAACATTGTGATCAACATTACCTTTGCCTTCCAACGACCCAGAATTTCGTCTGTCTTCATCTTGGTCTTTAAAAGAAACGACAAAACGACTTCTTTTCAACTTTTCATATAATATACCATAAATTAATACATGTAGTAACTCATTTCTTAAACAACAGTCCTTGCTCTACCTTGGTAAAATCAAACGCTGGAGAGATCATGTGGGAATGTTTATACATGTTTATTAAAAACAATATTCTATTGTATTCATTGTGAGCTGATGTGCTTTGTATTTGAAATAGTTAGCGGTCCTTTTTTTTTAAACAGAACTTAAAATAACAGTTACATTAAATCCTATCATATACTGTGTGGACACAAACCTCGGTCTCCACCAAAATGAAAAAACTGCAGAAGGCCGTCTTGTTGATCGTCATCGTCGTCTCTGTCACAGTGGATAGGTGTGGTCAGCACTCCAACCAACAGAAGAAACACGTTCAGCCAGCCAAAGGGAGACATGGTGTACTCGTGAGATAGTTCTCTCAGTCAAGTGACGAAGACCCACGGAAAACAGACGATAATAACGGAGTAATTTAGAGTGGATTGAGAGAAATCATCCTTGCCACAAGATATACCCTTAAGCTTACTAATATTGATATAATTAGGCAGATGCTATGAAGGATACTGGAAACGTATAGGTACCAAACGACATTGAAGACAATACGCCGCGCTGTAAGTTAATATGATACAGACGTTTTTAATTGACAATATCGGGAATGTTTATTCCACTGCAATAATTATTCAGATATCTTCTTTCCTATAACCCGGGGCAGGAAGTTAAAAGCACGCACTGAGCGGTTAAATACCTTACCGTCTGTTCTTCACCACCAATGCGCATTGGTCGCAACTTGTATAAAGAGTTTTCACAAAATTGACATTAGTAATCCTCGATAAACCGGAGACACCGTCTCAACTTTTAACTTAAATTCCAGTTTGTAAACAGAGGCCAAGACTTCACGATTCTAGTGCTCGGCCACATAGATTGCCTTCGTCAAAGCGTTCGTCATTAGCTGCACCGCACTAGACAGCTATCCACAGCATCCGTTGTGTAAATGTACGTTGAAAGAGGAAACTTAAGCCGACCAGCGACCTAACGCAGCAAGCATAATATGTAAATCAGCTGAAACCGTCAACCTTAGCTGTACATAATAACAAACCTACTCAGCTTAGTGCTGAGTTATCTCACCTGCCTTACAGTTAGGTAACACATGACGAGTAAAATTGAAATTTAGGTCCAATCATGTGAAAGACGTCGGTAATATGACACACTTTATGTTCGGGGCAAAAATCTTCAAGCAGCTAATTATACCGCTGCGGACTTCAACTATAAAGAGATTTCGACGACAAACGACGCAAGTCAGCTTGGCCAGCTTTATGCGTTGAAGTGGTTGCACATTATTTTTAAACTGTAATGAGCTGTGACTGGACAATCCCTAAATATGCACGCCCACACTTATTTTTTGTATTCACATAGAAGGCTGTGCGCTAGAAAATAAAGAAAGTAATGAGCCCTAGCAAACGGTTCGACCAAGGGTGGACACACGCAAACAGGTCAAAACTCCGTTTGCCGAGCTCATTAATAAAAGATATACACTTATAACATTCTGTATTAGAGAGTTGTAAGAGCCATGAAACTGGGGAATTGAAGAGATATTGCACTGAACCTTTGACTTTGACTGAAGGCTTCTAATTCTGAGCGATTTGGATGCAATCTGGTCAGAAAATAGCATTATTTAGCAGTTTTGCAGAGGGATGCTTTTTCAAAATGGCTACTTTCCAGACAGGGAAATATCCTTCGTTTTAGGGGCAAGGGATATGCTTTGGGTGATAATTTCTCAAAAATTCATTGGTCAACCCACTAAAAATTGAAAGGAAATTGAAGGGAAAATGAAAGAAGAGTCAAACACGCAAAACTTACACGCCTACGCGGTGAGTTCGTACCAAAGGACTGTCAATTTCGTTTAAAAACGCACCCTCTTTTGTTCTCGCTTGGAACGGATAGGTATGGTATCACAGACTGACTGGTATTACTTGGTAATCGTGTCTTTGGTTCTTTGCGTGTGTAGCCCCATCGGTATTGCAGAGAGTCAGGAGTCAGTATATCGAGCGCCAATTGCCTCGTGTGTGTAACACACCCTGTCACACACAGTTTTCTACATATCAAGCTAGAGGGCGGCAAAACTTGTGATGTCGCCAACAAGCATGGTCACAGTTACCGCCCTGGATGGTCGTCGCAAAAAGGTATAAATCGTGAACCAGGCTTCATTTATTCAGTACAAATGATCGATCAGTTTGGGGGGTATGCCCTATACCTTAGGTATGTACGAATCGGCTTGCCTTACGTACGCTTTCCCGGGGTGTACTTTGATACTTTGCAAATATGTTACATCATACCTGGATTTGAATTATAGGTCTGCAGAACAGAGAATGTTTGTGTCAATATAGATCTTTTCACTATAATAAATTCATAATTATGCACGCATGTGCACAAATGGCTTTGGCGGCAAGAATTGTGAGCGGGCCATTAAAAAGGTACATGGGTGCGAATTCGATGATCATTTTCTGTCATTCTCAGAAAATTCCATTAAATCATTTTGCTATTAGTTTCTAATCCAAGCGGGATTTTTAGTGCTGTGTAAAAAGACTTTATAATCATGATTTTTCCTGTGCGCACGAGATCGCCGTTTCTTGGTACGGCCCCCTTCCCATCGTAAGTAGTATTAATTACATCGTTAGTGTTTTGGGAGCCAGCCTACACATTTGTAAACACGTATTGATGTTCAATGTGCATGTATGTATACTGTACGTACATAATTTACTAGAGCTGCTTAAACACAAAAGTGTGAAAAACCTTGCTAAAAAAGGTTACCAGCTCAAACTCTGTATGATTGTCATGCTAACCAAAAGACAGCTAAATACAATCCCAAAACAACATACTCCACATGGAGTTTTGGCTGGTTACCTGGTTTATCAAGCAAGCTTTTCTCGTGCATTAGGCAAATTTTATGCTTAAGCATCTCTATGAAATTGGCCCCGGGTCATAGCTTGGAGTAATACCGAAAGAAATGGTATCCAATTGTTGTGTTAGGGGTTCTGTGACAGGACAAAGTGCAGATTCCAACCGAGAGAAAGGGATCTGGTTCTTCAGATTTCCCAAGTGCAGAAAGCAGCGAATCGAATGGGTACAGTGCACTATGGAAAAAAAAAGATTTAATGGGATTTTCTGAAGAAAAAACGAACAAGGGTAGAAAAACTGAGAGAAATTGGTCATCAAGTCGCGCGCTTGACATACCTTTTCAATGGTCCTCTCACACTTCTTGCCGTTAAGGGCATCTGAGCGCATGCGTGCATAATTGAAAAGGCCTATTGGGGAATTATTTCCGTTCAAATGAGTTCACAATAAGAAGATGAATATGTGAACGAGCCCTCTGACAGATTTGAATACCGCGAAAATGTTAATTTGAACGTTTATTGCCTAAAAACTGAAATGTCCTATTATCAGCATCTGTTCTTTACCAGATTAATTTGCTTTATAAGTCTACCCAAGAAACGGCAAATGTTTGGTCGGTATTTCTGAGGTTATCCTTTAGGTAATCCCACTTACATTGGTAAATCTTCAGGTTCCCCAGCCACAATCTGCAGATGACGCCACACAAGGAGATGAAAAATAAAATTTGTCAATTTGATAGTTGCTGGCACATTAAAGTAAGAAATAGCTGTAACATTGAGGTTTTTCCTGAAATAAGATGAAACTTCTAACTTGTCACAAATACATATGGCATAAAAATAAAGAAATTAAATGAAGAATATTCCACTTTTAAAACCAAAACAGTGAATTTGAGACTTGGGTTGAACGGGGCACGAAGGTGAATTTTCAAAAAATAAGAATATATTATAAAAATTTCGATGAGCCGTCCAGTGTTATAACTCACATCATAATTGAGGAATAAAATTCCTTCAAAAGTTATCTAAATAGATCTGTTTACACAAAAAGTACGAAATGAGCATGTGCATCCGTCACACAGGTCAAATTTCACGCATTTAGAGAAACGAGCAAGTCAACACCTGTTACAGAATTTTGTAATAAAAACTAACTACTACAGTTACACTCCATCAATCAAAAAAGAACCTTATTGGTTCTGCCTGCTGACTGTCAAAAATTTAAGTTTCAGGGTTTGGAATTGCAGTATTTGTTGGTTATCCTGCATGTCTTATAGTGTATGGATTAAGAATACCATTCAAGTAGACAGAATGCAACGCCGAGCATGTACGTATTCGCCCGTATTCCTACATTAAAGCTCCATCGTTTAAGGCTAATCAAAATACGTTTTAGGCTCGTGCAGGTCATTTGTATCTATTTTAATGGCAAGCTGTTACATTAAAGATGGCGAACCAGTCGGCAAGCGTTGTGCCCTCATTGCACTCTTGCACTAAGTTTGGCCTTCCACTGGTATCAAAGTGAGGTAGATCCTACTATATTTGTCCGAGTATCGATAACTGATCGCGGATAAGCGATCACTCTTCCGGGGTGATCTTAGCCGCGGTGGATGAAATTCGCAAGCCTATTCCCAAGAATACACCTCGTATAGCACCCCTGACAAGCTGATTGGTGCTCGCAACATACGCAGCAAACAGTGGGATTTGCCAACATAATTATCTTGAACTCAAGCCCATGGACATACTGTATGTAATACTGAAACATGGATGTCAGCTTATGACAAACGTACTTTCTTTCTTGCCTGGCTGGATACGCAACTATTCGACGGGATCATGGTGGTTGGGGCAGTGATATCATAGCACTTGCCAACATCATGGTACTGTTGCGCACCTGCAAATCTTGGAATTCTAGCGCCCCCTAGTTTTACTCGTTCTCGGTCCTTGCATTTCTCAGGGTCTCTTATTTAGCTCAGCTGCGCATTATGGACATGTAGCAGAGACGCTAATTTTGTATTAAGTTATTCATGCTGTACTCCGGCGTGATCGCGTGATCCTTCACTCCTTTATCCTTGTGTTTTCTCTGCTCAGTTTTGGCATGTCGAAATTCCCCTCCATGTGGCTGCGTGGTTGGGCGTGGTAAGGTTCCCTGAAATGCTAATGTCCAGAAACCTAAGACTTTATAACTGTCAATCATTCGCCACAGATGACCGGGTAAGCACTTTCACGCACCCGGCTCTACACTTTGTACACGTGACTTCTTATTCTGTATTTTACCTTTTTACACACTACATTTAGATTCTTGCACACGACTCTAGCAGGAAGTCATGTGACCCTTTGAGATGGAAGATTTTCATTGGTTGAGCTGTTCAGCGACGCTCATATTTTATTAATTTCTAAGCCTCTAGAATCCTATAAATAGAGCAGACTTTCCATAGCTCGTCGGTCAGGTGCGGCGGACCAAACCCTTGTTGCGAGAGCGGAACCCAACGTAGTGCGGCGGTTGGACCCTTTCCGAGAGAAGTGCGATAGTAACCATTCTTACGGCGAAGAAATGTAACCGTATGAATGACCAGCTAGCTTAGCTTGGACCGATGCGAGAGCGGTACGAATCAGCCCAGGGTGCTAGTGAGAGTCGTAGCGGCCCGTCACCGCTACGTCCGAACCGATTGCCGGGCGAGACACCCCCTGTGTCCCTCACCACCCTTGTCCTGCTAACTAGCCCAGTCCTCCCCGTCTCTACGCTGAGCCAATGGTACACAGTGCGGCGATCTTATCATTGCGCTCAACTCATTGCGGTC